TACTTTGGACATGTTGTGAGGAGAGACCGGTCCTTGGAGAGGGACATCATGTTTGGGAGGGTGGACGGACAGCGCAGGAGAGGAAGGCCCTCTATGAGGTGGATTGATTCAGTGACGGGGATAATTGGGATGGGCGTGTCGGAGACAGTGCGATTGGCACAGTACAGAGCGTAGTTTAGGGCAGGTGTACATAGGGTTACTATGAGTAGCAAGCGACTCAATGGCACATAACAACAACAACAACAGTATCACATCATCTGCATATATAGATAGTTTTACTTCATCTTTGCCAATGTGGGTGTCTCTTACTTCTTTCTCTTGCCTATTGCTCTCATTAAGGCTTTTCAATACAGTTTTGAATAGGAATAGTGATAGTGGCCATCCTTGCCTTGTTCCTGTTCTTAAGGGATGCCTTTAATCTAGTATCATTGAAAACAATGTTGGCTCTTAGTTTTGTGGTTATCACTATGTTGAGGAAGTTCCTGTTTATTCTTATTTTGTTGATTGTTTTAATCAGGAAGGGGAGTTGGGTTTTGTTAAAGGCCTTTTCTGCATCAATTGACAGGATCATGTGTTTTTTGTTGTTTGTTTTGTTAATGTGATGAATTGCATGAATTATTTTTCTTATGTTGAACCATCCTTGCATACCTGTTAGAATCATACTTGGTCACGGTTAATTATTTTCTATACACACACACACACACACACACACACACACACACACACACACACAGCAGTAGAGGCCTAGTGGCAAGAAGCTGTGTTGCAATCTCAAAGGCTCACAGATCATATCCACCAGCTGATCCTTGGGAGAAGGCTGGGCAATCTTCTCCCATGTGATTAACTGCCTCTGAAAACCCACTGGAGGGTCAAATATGAGTTGACTCTGACTCTACAGTACACAACAACAACACATGACTAATATCTGTCATCAACATAAATGCAAAAATTCTCAACTATATATATGTTGTTGTTGTTATGTGCCTTCGAGTCGTTTGCGACTCATAGCGACCCTATGCACAACAGCCCTAAACCCTGCTCTATCCTGCGCCAACCGCACTGCCTCTGACACACCCATCCCGATTACTCCAGTCACCAAATCAATCCATCTCATAGAGGGTCTTCCCCTCCTGTGCTGTCCCTCCACCCACTCAAGCATGATGTCCCTCTCCAAGGACCTGTCCCTCCTGGCAACATGGACAAATTATGTCAGTCGAAGCCCCAGAATCCTTGCCTCCAAGGAGTAGCTTGGTTTAATCCTCTCCAAGATGAATCTGTATGAAATTGAGGTAGCTGGTTGTGTAGTTTAATTCTTAAGCATCTTTGTTGAATTTCTTTCTAGTTGTTTTATCTTTCCTTAACAGTGGTGTGTTGAAGTCTCCTACTGTTCTTGTGGCCTTGCTGTGCTGCAATCGCAAAGGCATGCAGGTTGAATCCATCAGCTGCTCTGTGGGAGAAAGATAAACAATTTTCTCCTGTGTGGTTAACTGCCTCTGAACCCCCCCCCCAAGAAGTGTCAGTTCCAATGAGACAGTGCTCAACAACAATTATTGTCTATTTCTTTTTTTCAGTTCTGTTAATATTTGCTTTGTGTATTTTGTAGAGCTATCATTTAGTGCATAGATGTGTTTATTATGATTACATACTCTTGTTCTATTGACCTAAGCATTATATAATGTCCTTCCTTGTTCTTTGTGATGGTTTTTACCCTTAAGTTTGTTTTATCAGGGATTAAAATTGCTACTCCTGCTTTTTTCTGGTTGCCATTTGCTTGGTATATTTTTCCCCACCCTTTTACTGTTAGCCTGTCTTTATCTTCACTTTTCAAATGTGTAGACAGCATGTTGATGAATTTTGTGGTTTTTAATTTTTATTTAATTCATTTACTCTTTTTTCCCCCTTCACTGGTGCATTTAAGCCATTCGCATTAAGTGTGATTATTGAATAGCAAAGTTTCATTGCTATCATTTTGTTGGGTTCTTTTTTGTGTTGTTACTGGTTACTTTGCTCCATCTACCTTTCTGTGGCATGTCTGTGAAAAGGACTTCATTCAGCATTTCTTGCAACATTTGTCTTATTTGCATAAACTCTCTTAGTCTCTGCTTTTCTGATAATTTATTGATCTATATTTGTTGTTGTTTTTGATTGCCTTCAAGTCAAGCATGACTCATAGTGACCCTATGAACAAAAGGCTTGAAGCCCCTGTACAACTATTGAGATTTATCAACGTTCATAAAGTTTACAGAGGCAAGTTGTTTAGAAAATGGATGGACAATTTTTCTAAGCATAGTATTATTTTTTATTATTATTAATTTTAATGAACATTTACAGAGATTTTGGATTTCTGTTCATTCACTATTGCACTTTTCTCCCTGCCCACTTCTCCCCTCCAGTTTGCTCCTCCCTTTGAAAAGAAAAATGAAAAATTTCCTTCATTGGTATACAATCCCCCTGTCCCACCCCCACCCCGTGCCTTGAGTACACTTCACTATGCAACCTTCATTCTGGGCTCTTGTGATAATCATAATACCCAACCATATATTGCCTTTAATCTGTTCTTTCTATCATCTGTTTCAATACAGTATGCATAATTTATCCAGTTTTTCTGTCTTACTCCAACCCTGATGTCAGTCCCATTCTACAACAGTGGCACTATACAGTATTTGTCCCTTTGTGACTGAGATATTTCACTCAGCATAATGTCGTCCAGGGTCACCCAATTGGAATAATATTTCATGAGTTCCTTGTTTTCAATGCAGCATAGTATTCCATTATGTGAATATATCACAGCTTCTCTATCCATTTGTTTATAGATGGGCACTTAGGTTGTTTCCAACTCCTTGCTATTGTGAACAAAGCTGCAATAAACATTGGTGTGCATATGTCTGCTTGGATGTTGGTTATGGTCTCTTTCAGGTATATTCCCAGTAGTGGAATTGCTGGGTCAAATGGTATCTCTATTTGCAACTTTTTGGAGAAAGCACCATACTGCCTTCCACAGTGGTTGCACCATTTTACACTCCCACCAACAGTGAATAAGAGTTCCAGTTTCTCCACAACCTAGCCAGCATTTGTTGTTTGTTGTTCTCTTAAATTTTGCTATTCTTACTGGAGTGAAATGATATCTCATAGTTGTTTTGATTTGCATCTCTCTTAGAGCTAGGAATTTTGAACATTTCTTCATGTGTTTGTTGGCCATCCGAATGCCTTCTTTGGTGAAGTGTCTGTTCATTAGGCACAGTATTCTTGGTTGACAGTTGTGTTCTTTAAGTGTTTGATATATGTCATTCCACTTTCTTTTTGCTCACATGATTTCTGCCAAGAGATTGGCACTTAATCTTTTTGTCCGGTCCTTCTAGATTACTCTAATTTTTCCCTAATGGCTTTCAGTTGTAAAGTAGGATTTACATAGAGGATAAGATGAAGGGCAAACAGGAAAAGAACAGATAGATAATGAACACTGCAGTGGGACAGATAAGGGAAAGATAGTCTGAAAGAAATGTATGATTAGGAATGTTTTTTTTTTGTTTTTTTTCCTATAATTATATTTTATTAATTTTCATAAACATTTACAGAGATTTTGGGCTTCCACTCATTCATTGTTGCACTATTCTCTCTACCCTCCTCCCAGTTTGTTCTTGTCCAAATGCCACAGTGCTTGTCAAAGCCAGTTCTGATTAATCTTCTTTGTCAGTGTATCCTTTGCCATTCCCTATCACTCCTCCCTGAGAGAGACTTCACCCTGAGTCATAAGGAAAAGGGGATGGCGTATTCTCTTAGCTACTTCCTGCTGAAAAGGGACGCTGTGGGTTTCAGGGTGAAGATCTTCTCTCACTACTCTAAAGGGCCCCTTTGGCAGTAGGAAACACATAGACTATTATGGAGATTGATTTTGGAATTCAGATGCACTCTTATTGATTGTGCTTGGCTGTACATGTACATATCCTTCAAGATGTATCATGGGGGTGTTGCAACCTAGAAGACACAAATTTGACTAACAAGTTATAAGTACATGAGTCCAAAAATTATGGAAAAGTAAAAGAAAAGATTCTTTCATTGTTTTACAAACCCTCCCCCAGGTCCCCTCCACCATGCAGCCCTCGCTCTAGTCTCCTGTGATGACAGAAATAGCCTGTTATATCTCTCTTTTAGACGGTTCTCTCCCTCCTCTGCTTCAGTGCAGTATACATTATTGAACCCATCTTACTCAGTGTCTCCCTAACCCCAAGGACAGTCCCATTCTACAACAGTGGCATCATGTAATATTTGTCCTTTTGTGACTGGGATATTTCACTCTGCATAATGTTCTCCAGAGTCAACCATTTTGAATAATATTGCATGAGTTCCTTGTTTTTTAATGCAGCATAGTATTCCATTGTGCGAATATACCACAGCTTCTCTAGCCATTCGTTTGTTGATGGGCACTTAGGTTGTTTCCAACTCCTTGCTATTGTGAACATGTGTATATGTATGACAATTAACAATATGGAACAAAAGATGTATTAAAAATGGAACTAGGGGGAGGAGGAGGGAGGAAAATGTGCAACAATGAACGAATGAAAACCCAATCTTTCTGTAAATTTTCATTAAAACACTTAAAAAAAAAGAGAGCAGTTCTCAGTTTTGTTATTCCCCATACTACAGGGTTTGATGTTCGGCTATGCCACTGATGAGACGGAGGAGTGCATGCCCCTCACCATAATCCTCGCTCACAAGCTCAATGCTCAGATGGCACACCTGAGACGTTCTGGTGTCCTTCCCTGGCTGAGACCAGACTCAAAGACACAGGTGAGCTTCCTCTTTTTGCTCCCTCTAGAGCTCTAAGCAAATTATAAATTTGCAATCCTTTGCATTCTTGTAAAATTTAAGATGAGTATAATCTAAATAACCAAGTGTTAATTTTGAAAATAACTTTCTATTTGTAGGGTAATCCTCGTTTCTAGGCTTTCCTCCACTTCAACATTTTATTATGAAATTTTTAAAAAAATATACAGGATTTGAAAAAGGAATTCTAGACCTTTTGCTGATTAGCCTGTGCTGACTCTGGTAGCTTTCATTTTACTACCACAAATTTATTCTGATCCAGCTTTCATACTTATCCATCACTATCTTTCTCCATACACAGGTCTCCATTGTATGAGCAAGGCTATCTGTGTCTTGCCATAGCTTTTTCTTGTGTTCGTTTCCAGCTCATGTTTTCTGTGACCCCAGTCTCTGAGATCCCTGCAACGATGAAGTTCACACTGGAGTTTTATGTCAATCCATAATCAGTGACATGAGTGTTGTTAGTCTGAAGGTAGACTCTTTTTCCCCTCTGACCACTAAGTGTCTTGCAACATTCATCCTTGATAACCTCTTTTCTTCCAGTTTCTTTCCTGGTTCTGCTTCTATTTCTAACAAGTGACTCCACCAGAACTAGGCATATCCTCTACCACATTCCCTCCCACCCCTCTTTTTTACCTGTAGGTGCAATTTTTTCCTTTAGATACTCAGCAACCAAATTATTAACTCAGGTCTCTCTCAAATACTAGCTTCATTTCTCTACCTAACAGCTCTGTAGTTTACCCCATATGATCACAATTTACTCAGCTGTATGTAGGGGTATAGAAGGTAAGGTGTAGAGTCCTTCTACCTCCACTGACCTATGTTTCCTGCATTCCCTGCAGAACGTCCTCCTGCTCTGGCCCAGTCTATCTGGAGTTTTTGCTGTGCTACCACACCTGAACCAAGGCGGTACCCCCTTGACAGTCCTCCTCTTATTTCCTTCTTTTCATTTCCTGCCATAAACTTTGTATCTTCCACCACTTTCTGTCTCACGTGAAGAAACACTTCCTTTTTCATTCTGGTATTAAAATTTTATTATATGCTTCATTTTTACCTTTATCTGTGTTCCCATTCCTTTACTTCATAATAGAATTATGCTGTTAACCAAAAGGACATGACTCTCTGCTGGCAGTTTGACTCTACCATCAGCTCTGAGGGGGGGAAAAGTGGCAATCTCCTCTTGTGAGATTTACAGCCTCAGAAACCCTGACTCCACACTAATGAAATTATTTCCCAGCCTCAACCTCCACAAGCCATAGTCATCTCCCTTCTTGTGCTGTGTTCCCACTTTTCCCTATCTTCAGTCTTTCTCAGTTCCCTGCCAGCACAGTTCCTGCTTCCTTCTAGATATCTCTCCTGTCAACACCAGACAGTTCTTGCCCCTGCTTCTACATTTTGCAAGTGTGGTGTTTTTTATTCCTCTTCTTCTTCTTGGAATTTGAATGAAAATTTACAAAGCGAATTGGTTTACCATTCAAATTCATGTACATTTTGGTTTTTGACATTAATGTTAATATTCATGGGGCAACTACCTTCTTCCTACATCCTCTTTGTGATTCTTGTCTCCATCAATCCTTTCCTGCCTTCTTGACTTTTGGGCCTTATTCTTGAGCAAATGTTGCTATTTGATATTATATGGTTTATTATGCTGAGAAACTACTGCCCCCCTGGTGTGACTGATCACCTGTAGGCCCATTTATTATTCAACTGACAGTTGAGCCATGGAGTGAAATTTTGTTACAGGTTCAAAGAGTGGAAGTTGTCCTAGGTTGAGGAGTTCTGCCAGTCTCTGTTACACCAGTAAGCCTTACAATTTTTAGATTTTCCCCCACATTTTTCTGGTTCATTCTTTTTGTCCAGTATTGTCTACTGTGATTCCTTTTAGAATAATTAATACTATCTAATTATTATGGTCTCATGGACTAATTAAGTTTATGAATGTTTGTGTTTCCCCTCTTCTTTGTTCTAGACAGAGATTGGTAGTTGCACCATAGCTAGCAGATCACAACATCACAACAGTTGTTTTGTTTTGTTTTTTTCTCATCCAAGTAGGATGTAGAAAATTGTCTTTGTAGACTGTGTTATGTGAACTGAACTTGATGTTCCCCAATACTACAATATTTAGGCTTTAGGGTCAAAGCAAGTGTTGTATTAAAGCTCAGCAGTGGACACTGAGCTGTGACTTTAGCTGCATAGACCACATGTAGTGCAGAGATGGCAAGGGGCTGTGCTTGGGTCTAAGATATGCAAGTGTGCCACCACACGACCCTAAGCTGAGTCAGCATCTGCCAGATACAATGCTTCAATTGTAATGATGATGACGTCATATGAAGGAGATGTTAGGATATGGGTCTGCCTGGCCTGAAATTGCATCAAACAATGAATGAGTGGAGATTCCAAGAAACTTGAAGTCAGGAAAAGGTCTGTGAGTAAGGCAGATTCAATGTTCCTTTTTCTGTTTACCTACTGGACCAGCTGACATAAGAATGATCTCCTCCTTTTTATGTAGATAAAAAATCAGAGGTTACACAGTCTAGGAGGCAGCAAAGAAAAATAGAAGGGAAGAATGGATTTTTATAGGGCTTTCCTTCCTACAAGAGTACATTGAGCTCTTTTACAAATATTCTCTTGGATACAAGAGCTCCTTGCCAGGTAGAGGGTGGGGATGGAAGTTAGTCTGCACACTCTAGGGAACTGTTTGGCCAGCCCATGAGCAGTCTGGCTTATTTCTTGTGTCACATTGTGTGAGAGGCAGTGCCTAGAAGTTGTTTCTATTAAGAAAATATTTCTATCACCAGACTAGAGTATTGACTGTGAACAAGAAAAGCAAACTTTTGTTGCTGGTCTTAGAAAATGAATGGCAGAATAAAGACTAATTTTGTTCCAGTTGGAGTTGTGTTTTTAATGATACTCTACATCTCGCCGATGGAATAAGGTATTAGTAGTGTTTAAGCCTTTTTCTCTGTTGTTGACAAAAATGTTTACTAGAATGAAGGAAGTGCTATCCAATTGAGCAGTGATTGGTTTATACATCTCCTTAGGATGTGAAGACTTGGGCCTACAACCTGCTGGGGGCCTCCTCCAGAATATAGTATATCATGGCTGCTTTTTGTCCTTGGATGCCTGTGTGGCAAGGTTCTTTCCCTTCCTTCTAGAAACATTTCTCTCTGGACCGGTCATGTAAACTCATTACTGACTGGAGAGTATCTAAGGACCTTGAGTAGCACAGCTCCAGAGATGCAATGTCAAAGTCATTCTTGTTGATTTAGGATCATCTCACAGCTGGACCTTATTCTTGAGTGAATAATCCTCATTTGATCCTCAAACAGCTGACCCTCCAATAGGTTTTCAGATCCTAAAAATCACATGGGAGGATATTACCTATCTTTCTCCCTGGAGCTGCTGATGGATCTGAACTTCCAGAGAGACACTGCCTTTGGGTTAGCAGCACAACTTCCTACAGACTGTATACCACCAGAGCTCCCTTCATTACAGAGATGCTGTGGAAGACCTCCTGTGTCCTGTGTCTATGGCAGTGTCCTAAGAAGAGTGTCTGCCATGGCTTCACTCTTAGGTATTACCTGTCCTGGATTACTTCTTGTTTTGGGCAGTTCAGAGTCTTTTTCCCAGCTTACCACTCTGGGTCTGAAGAGGTGGTATTCAGTTACCAGGTAGGTGCTACTCCAGGTCTGACCCTTGCTCCTCTGACTGAGTGATTTTGGCAAAAATGTTTATAGTTTCTGGAGCCTGCAATGTATCTACGGGTACATTGAGCTCTTTTACACATGTTTTTTTGGATAAGAGAGCCTGCCTCACTCCTTGCCAGGTGGAAGGGTGGGGGTGGAAGGCAGTACACACATTTCTTGTCTGGAAAATGCTGTGGTAATAGCTGTACATGACATGTGCTTGGTCAGTCAAGGCTAGCTTTTTTCTTAAGCTCTCCACCATTCCTTTCCCTATGCTACTCCATACACCAGGATGCCCAACTGCCTCCATGGTTTTAAGACCAATCAGTTTGTGGTATTTGGCTTGTAGATGTTCACAGATGTCTGATGGGGTGGGTCTGCAGGGTCTGAGGCTGTCCTCTAAGCTGCCCAACTTCAGCTAGTCAGATGCCTAACCCCTCCTGTGAGCGTCCTGCAGGAATGAATGTTGCAGGGTTTTGGCATCTTCGATTACCTGGGAAGATGGGATGGGCCCTCGGGCCAAGAAAAGCCTATCTACACACCAGTTCTACAGGATGCATCACCTTTGCTCGGGAAACATTACGACTAAACTTCAGAGACACTGATCCCAACATAAGGAACTACCATCAGCTGATATGTTTGAAATCACAGAAGCCATGGAAGCTTCATATATAAGTTATTAGATGGAGGGCTGGTGAAAGGGAGAAAGATGTGAAGGGAGGGGGTAGAAGTGGATGGGTATCATGGTGGATGGTGAAGCAGGAAATAAGTGGATAAAGACGCATGTGAGAAAGGCAGGGACAACAATGACACTAAAGTTAACTCCGTAATAAGGGATATACCTTTAACTTGCTGGTCCGTCTGATACTTCTCTAAATCTGAACATTCACATTGAGACAGAGTATGAAGAAGGATTGGCCATCCACTTCTGAAATAGCAGGCCTCTGAAAACCCTATGTACAACAGAACACATTTAGATAACAGAAACGGCAAAGGAGGTTGAGTTTTCAAGTATGGAAATACAAAGGAAGAGGAACAGTTGTAAGCAGACACTGGTGATTGGGACATGGAAAGTGAGAACCATGAATGCAGGAAAATTAGATATTGTTAAGGAAGAAATGGAATGCATAAATATTGACATACTAGACATTGGTGAGATGAGATGGACTGGCCTGGGGCATTTTGAGTTGGATGACCATATGATATATTACTCTGAAGATGAAAAGGTGAGGAAAAATGGAGTTGCTTTCATAGTTAAAAAAGTCATGGCTAGATCCATCTTGAAGTACACTATTGCCAGTGACAGGATAATATCTATACGCATACAAGGAAGTCCAGTGAATACC